TGTATAGAACAAAGTCAAAATCTCACAAGGACAACGGGAGAGTCATCACAGCGGTTGGAAAGAAAGATTAAGTAAGAAAACTTTTTCCCAGATTTCCGTTCCCACTATTATCAACAGCAACTTCCGTTCGCTGTTTGGAGATGCATATACCATCGACTTCGTTCGTCGTTGAGAATATTCCCAACTTGGGGTTTCAAAAATTCATTAAACTCAAGTTACCCATTAACTTGTAGGAACGCCTTTCAATTGGCATTAAAAAGTAGTTACCGGTTTCTCCCTTGGTTGCTGTTGGGTCAACAGTGAACTGACTGACTCTCAATGTAGATAAAACATGAACAAACAAGAGTCAGTATTTTGCTTCAGCCCTGGTATGAGCTGGTGGGCATAGTGATAACACAGACGCCTTCTATTCAGTGAGTTCAGAATTCAAATCCCTGACGGACCGGTGGATATGTACTCTTGATGATGTCTTAAGAGAGCGAAATTGGAGCCTAGTGTATGGTTGACTGGAAGAACTGGGATATGTTTATGAAGGTGAAACCTCAGGGATAGTCAGTTAAAATCAAAATAAACGATCCCACACCACTATTCTCAAATAACTGAGTTAAATGTGATTACTGATAGAGTTTAGATGATGTTCGTTCCTGCAAAACATGGAGGCTACCGTCCACTACTGTCCCCTCAAATTACTTCAGTGAGAATATATTCATCTTTCGGGAATATCAATTAAATAGTTGAGTATTTTTTGTAATGATTCCGTTCTTTGGTCTGAAATTTGTACCAGGTAAATAAACAGAATCACAAAACGGTTTCATAGACAATGTAGAAATCGGATTTTGAGAAGAAATCTATTTCTGGCATATCGCATCAGGCGTTTACATGTATAAGGTGATCATAGTAGAGGTATCTGATTGGCCCAATAAAGCTCGGCTAGTACCGAACACAGATTACCTGATATATAAAGACGCTTGATGCGATATATCGAAAAGAGATTTTTTCGCGAATACCGATTTCTAAATAAACAGAAATCATAAAAATCACTTACACGTGAAATACAGGGTAATAAATATAACAGTAAAACCGGAAGCGCAATATTATTCGCTGAAAAAGCACACAGTGGATCCAGGATAGTGTGACTATGAAAGGAAACAATCCTTTATGAATGTATACTTATATGAACTTGTTTCATTTCCAAAGATGGTATGTTTATTTTAGGCAACCACTTTAACCCTATTTTGGAAGTTCTGAAAATTTAAGGGAAAGAAATAACACGCATAGAAAACAGATGATAACTTCTAGAATAAAACGTGAATAATTAGTGATCAAACTCATTGCAGTGAAGTCTAAAGGATATTTATTTTACTATACAAAAACATGTTTTGCATTCAAAATTTTAGCCGAGAATACAATCGATCAAAATAATTGGGTGACAATATATATATATATATAACGTTGTTTAGGCCTGATAAAAATCAAGCACAATAAACTTGTTAAAATACTGTAGTGACAAAATCAACTAATGCAAGTAATTAAAAAATAACAAATTGTTCTGCAGTGTGCTTTTACCCTTTTCCACGTGCTTTGAAGGGTTCTCTGGCTGAGTAATTTTGCGAAGGATTTGTTTTAACCTTTCTTGATGATAGGATGAAGTATCATACATATTTGTATCTTGAAAACTTGAGAAAGCAGATAGTGATCATCATAACCACAATCAGTGTAAAATGAGAAAAGTTTTGTAAAGACTTGTATGTGAGAGTTCTCGGTTGCAGTCCCGCAAGAAATATGTCGCTTGCAAAATCCAGGATATTAACCACATTACATAGAAACAAGATGTCTAGAAACGGGTGGCGGTTTGCCTCATTCTATAGATAACGTAGTTCGAACTAAGTCACTGTCTGACAGGTGAAGTGCCAGGTGATTTCATTTTGTTACGTCCTCTTGATCCCGAGGGGTGGTCTCATGTGCTATGCATCAAACTATGGCGTGTGTGAATCAAAATAGCTCACTGTGACTAGAGCAGTTTGTGTAATGGAAGCTACCAAACAACAGTAGAGAATACTGAATTGGGTCCAAATATAAATTGACCCCATTTCGTGTGTGCTGTTGTCATATATAGGAACGGCACCTTATGCTTATATTGGCGTCGAATGATTACTCTAAGGCCATTTCCAATCTTGACCTCGAGTTGGTTTACTTAAAAGATAACTCATCAGTATTAAGTAGTATCAAAATAGTAGTGTGGTTTGCTTGCAGTTGGGAGTTGAACCCGATAGAAAATGCTTGGGATATTCTTATTCGCAAGGTGCGAAACCACTCCAGATATTCCACGAAAATCGTGAACGTTTGATTAGTAAGCGGAATAAGATGGAAACAGTCAAGTTATTACAGATAGTAATAAAAGGGCTTTATATGTTGACTTTAATGCTGGTGGAATACATTTATCGTGGTAAAAATTCCGTTGCTTCAATATATTTTCCTTAATAGTAACAATAATTTGATGAAAAATAGTGTTTTACTGACCTTTTGGTGGCCGTCTACATAGCCAAAACGGTGATGATCGTATGTGTGAGAGTGAGATGATAAGTCAATAAGCCTGGAGTATGGAGGACGTGCAATTATTTTGCCCCAAGGTGTGTATACCAAGACACAAGCGGACTTTGATGGTCCTAGTTCACGGACACGTAGTCAATAGAAGCTCTAACCCTGTGGCCGATGAATACCGGATTTCGGGGTCGCGGTAACGGAATTATCAGGCACCTTATGATTTCTAAGTGACTTTTTATCTGAATGTTGTGCCTTAACACGCATAAATGGAAATCCTTCAGCCTTTCGGGTGGAAGACCGGAAGTAATTTGTCTCAAAAATCATGGTTCAGTTAATTTGATTCATATTTGTCTCCGATTATTCAGACAAGCTAGACTGGATTTGAAAACTAACCAGCAATTACCGTGACATGTATTTCTTTTCTGTATACCACCTACAGGGATGATACAAAATGATCTAACATTGAATAGTTAGTTTGAACAAATGTATTCATAATTCGTTGCGGTTCATCTCCTTTGTATGTTCTTTTGCACATCTGTATTGTTTTTTTAATAGCCGCTTTTGGTTTAGGACTTTTGTATTAAGATAGTTACACCGCCGTTATTTATCATTCGTTCACCTGATTTTGATTTAGCCAATTGTGTAATAGGCAATAATTTCACGAGTAATTTGTCATTTCCAAAGCTGTATAACATGAAATTAAAAAAGAAAAAGCATGTATTATTGATAGAAATTTTCAATGTTTGATGAATTCTTTAAATTATCAATTCCACAACTCCCGAGTTGTGAAGCGTAAAACATCGGGGCATAGTTAAAGTAAAAGAAGCTTAGGTTACACCAGCCATCATTAACCCGTGTGTAAGAAGGATGCCATACTTTCTGACGTTATCTCCTTATCAATATTTGGTGATTGTACATGCGTCACATCGTGAAACAGAGAAGTAAACCATCAAAAAGATCATCAAAAGAGAATGGTAATGGATAAATTGGTTTCTTGTATTGTCTCTACTCAATGTAGCGTAAATAAATTGTCATTGCAAAACATAGCAGTGTATAGTTGATCAAAATGTCGCGTTTCAATTGATCTTTCACATCAAATACAACTGTAGACGCAAGTTTGAACCCAAATTGGGCTATAACGATGCAACATATGTCAGAATATCTGGATACATAAGCTGTTATCATTTCTATCTTTAGATTATTTCAACCGTCTGACAAAGCCATATAACCAATAAATCAGTTACATTGCGTCTGTAAAGACTTTCTACCCTGAAAGCCGTGAACTGATTTTGCGAGAAAATTAATCCGAAGCAGTGCATGAAAGTGCACCTAATCTGCGTTGGAAATTGACAAGCGGTGGAACTAGGTTTAACTTTGGCAAAATCCAACCATCCAGTCACAGTCGAAAGTGATGCAAGCTTGCGTATAGACGATCCACAGTTGTAAAAAGCGGAACGATTCGCTGGCTATGTCAATCATAGCCTGTTCGGTTGTAAATTAGTTGCGTGCAACAACTGGAATGTGTCTGCCTATGTCCATTAAAAAGACAGTTTTGTCGTTTTCTGTTCACCCAAATAGCATGTATTTTGACAGAGAATACTTGCTATTCAATATCGCCTTTTCAGGTTTTACTACTAATAGCAAAAACATACACACCTAAAGGTTAGTTACGATACTCTCAAGTGTAGCCTTTTTGTATGCTTATTATTCCCCATTTCAGTATCCACTTCCTAAAAGTTATTTAAAGAGCAGTGTCCTTCACTTTGGAAAAGGTAAACTGATTCTGTTGGTCTATTTCAAAAATATTCCTTAAAACTATTCCTACATCAACAATTATCAGATGGACATAGAGCCAATATTGTCTGATTCACATTTAATTAGTAATTTGTTCTTGTGATATCACTTGGACACTTACGACGTGTCGTCTTATCCAATGAATCTTTGCTACTATCACACTGTGTGCTGATTGGCCAGAGTTGTGCGGTTGTATTTTGCTTTAATACCCTATTCCCATTGGAACTAGTCTCCTGCAAAACAAAGCCGTACTCAGACACTCGGTGTTGATTCGGTGACTGCGTTTCATATTTATTTACTGCTTTCTTCTCATCTTACTCACTCTCAGCCTACTAATAGACCAAACAGAGCTTGTGGCATCTATATGAGGTCCTTTGCGCATTGAGACACCTATGAACGTGACCCAATCGCACATGTTAACCGCAAGGGCTAAGTGTGCTCACCCGGGCCAGTCAGAACTTTCAACGGAAGGACCTCACTTTCAGATTAGAACTCGAAACTGTTCAGCTCTATGGCCTCGCCGAATCTCTGGGTCTTTAAGCGTGGTCCACATCAGCTCGGTTCTAATTTTGGTGCTCATTCTAAACACATCCGTACAATGGTTCGGTACACGTCTCAGTGTAACTGGAATGCACATTTCCGCATATCCGAACCCTAATGGAATGGAAATGTATCCCAGCTGGACCCCTCTGCCTCGTGCGAGCATAGATGAATCTGATGACAGAATAACCGCAGCAAAACGTAAAATTTCATCTCGCGGGGCTCGGCACCGCATGTTTGATTACTACAATTCGGATCCAGATGAAGTAGGAGAAGCCAGCAAATTGACTGATGACAATTTGAAGAAAACAATAGAACGTCAGGCCACGGCACTGTTCAATGATGAGACTGCCTTGTCCAAAATGATCCAACAAATGGAGGCCTATTATCTGACTTACGGAAGACCAAGGTGAGTACTAACACTCCACTTGTCGAGGGTGTCACCAAGCTAGATACGAAAAAAGTGCGGGTTTACTGCCAGTTGAACAGGACCAATACAAACGCATCGTCGTTTACTTGTTGTACTTCATATTTTTTACCCACAGATTTTTATATTGAAATGCAATACGTTCACGGGAACAATGTAAGCATTTTTGATGTACAGCATAAAACTTTTGAGTTAATCAGAATGTTTTTTTCTCTATTCTTCACGTGAAAGTTTCTAGATAAAAGCAGTTCATACATTCTTTCCCTCGATTTAAATATTGTTTATTTATTATTATTCATTGCACAGTACAAATACGTATGCATGTTAAAAAGTAATCGTCAAAAAATAACGCAATCTGCATAACGCGGATAACTTAATTACGGAGAAAGAACGACTATATCATATTCTTTATTGTCCTCGCCAGACTTCTGCAAAATAATTTTAGATCTCAGCAGTTTAAAGTACTGTTACTTCACATTTTCATCTAAAGACATCCCTCCATACAATCATTCCTCGGTTGGGATATTGTAGGGTTTAGTTCCTTATGAAACACCACCATCTGTCATTCTACACGCCATCTTCGATCATTTATAAGCATGATAATATATGTTTGTGCCAGCAGTAAAATCACTCTACATAAATCATATTCGAAAGAGCCTGTTTTGCTTAGAAAGCCTCTGTTTTCAGTCACCCATGTAATATTTAGCATTTTTAGATCGTACCAGTTTAGTGAAAAAATAGCTTTGCGTTCTAGCACTATTTAATCTACACATACATCAGGCGGACAGGGAATCTATTCCGTGTTTTAAAGTCACCGTGTAAACGTGTATAACTCTAATATTAGACTGCATCTGACAATGCACCTTACAACATCTAGAAGTGAACCTATCAGCATGTTTTAGACGATGAAGTCATCATGTAAATGATGCGTGAACTGAAAAGCTAGGAAGCACTGGACAGCTGTTTGTACCTGGGCTGGTCTCGTCAGGAGTGCAAATCCATCGACCCAACTCGGGATCGAATCCGGGACGTAACAAGTTGAACACTAACATACTACTCACTCAGCCACGGGGCAGTTGATCAGACCGTTTTTCATTTTGGAAATGCACGATATAGCACAAACGAAATTTGCGAGCTTGTGGCGCGCAACGGATCTCGCTCATCTCAGTGCTATCCTGCAGTAATTTACCAATTTACCGTTCTTGTCATTTTTATGTGTGAGTTAAGAAATGCTTCAGATAGGTGTAGTGCAAATCATTTATTATATGTAAAATAGTGGTGAATTTATATGACAATCAAGTATTTTTCATTCAGTAACTTCCGTATAAATGCACGTTTTTATTCTGAATTCATTCTCTTTGCACTAAATTGGCTCATCCAATTGTAAACACAAGCAAACGCGCGTTATGCGTTCTTTTTATGATCAAAACTACTATATAACTGCAAATTGGCCAGTGTCTATGTACCCAAAATCAGCGCTAAATGGCTCGCAATGAAACAGCTAGCAATTCGGATATATGCAGCCACTGAAGTGGATCGTGTAAATTTTTTCCGGGTGAACGTTGCTGTTCAAAGTGACGTACTTTCAGACGGTTAAAAAAGTAAATGAGCTAAACTGAACAGGCAGTAGACTCGAGCCGAAAAACAGTTACTGATTTTCGAGTTTCAATGCAGTACTTTGTAAGAATGGATCGACCACGCACGATCCCTACATGTGTCTTACTTATTATTGCATAATGAACGAAAACAAGTTGAACTAGCCGTTTCAATTTGCCCATTTTTGAAAAAATGATTAGAAAGCAATGATTCGTCAAATATCTCAGTGCATTCACTCAGTAAAGCTTATAAATACCTATGTGCCTACCTTTAAGTCATTCGTTTCCAGCGGGAACATATCAAAACAAAGTTTTAAACTGAAGGCATTTGAATAAAATGGTGTCGAACATAGTTTATTTGTCTTAGGCCGTGTTTGATAATTATGTTTCCTATTGTTTTGATAATTGGAAGTTTGTTTGATCTGCATCAAACAAAATTGTTTTTACACTCACACAGGTTTTCCTTATTTATACAACAAATGCAAAACTGCCCTCCGTATTTTTCGTTAACATTCTGAAGGCAAAAGGTGTTCTCTCTGACGCTGATCGGCAGTAAATTGTTTCATGTACTCTTGCTCCGAAGCAATCAAATCAATGGTGCTAATTAAACGTCTGGTTTGGTTGTTCACCCCAAAACTGCTTTCAGAAGTTTTAAGTTTTCAATTGGGTGCAATATATATGACGTGCACATATAAGAGTATGTCCTTCATCAACCACTTTTGAGGAAGCGATCAGTTTGATCCTGTGTTTCCAGTTAATTAACAGTTAACGGCTTAAAACGATTATCGTAATATTTCGATCATCTATCGTTACCTAATTGTCTCGATTAGGTAATCTTGGCTTCTTTTCAAAGTTTGTATTAGGCTTATTTCATATTTTGTTAAATCTGTACCCACCTCAGTTGAATCCACTGTATAACACTATTTGCATATGTTTATGCGAATGCCTCAGATAATAACGGATGACATTAACATACGAAAATCGCGTTTGTAAAAACACAAGACCCAAAAAACCATGAATATTCCATGGTTTCAAGGGCAGTTTGAACTGGCAAAATGCTCGAATGTTTTCTCTCGATTAATTGCCGTTTTATTTCGAATTGCGGTTGAGCTAATTTGGTAACAACTAAAGAGTAAATCTCCCCACGGGATTCAATTATACACTTTGCTACCAACTGAGCTGTGCGAGTGCATGCTTCATACCTGTCAAGCTACCGCTGATAAAGAGTTTCTCAAGCATTGTTCCGGAGCGAAATCTGCATTGATGAAATCTATCAGTATGAGCGCAATCCAATCATAAAATGTGAAAAAGTCTATAATTTGGAATTCATACGGTTTTATCGGTGCTGAGGTTATATCAGTTATTTGCTTCCTCGATAAAACATCAAGGGAGTAAACGCTTCATGTTTTCAGAATCAACTGGAGAGAAAAATAAGAACTCTAATTTGTAATCGTTGTAAACACGTGGCACAGCAAAGCTTCGTGCGAAGTTACGCATCAAGAGTATGCTTCACAGACCAGAAAGAATAAATAACACTTCCAAAGATGTATTTAATCCCCATTGAGGTTTGGTTAAGTGGGACGCTATTTACATTTTCCATAGTGGATAACAAATCTGAGGTAATATTAAAACTTGAGGCCACATCAATCCTGTGTGAAAACTTTGAGTGGAACTGAATGACTGAAAAACCAGCCGAACTTTTATTCGAGAAACACAAAAGGATTAATGGAAACGTCATTTTACTTTCTTAGCAGTATGCTCAAATTCCTAAGCATTCTTATTGAAAGTGCGATTGTCCGTGAATGGAACGTCAAACTCACAAAACAATGACTGTAGTGATCCGAATAGACATTTGTTGACCAAATAACTAATTTTTGTGAAAAACAGTTTAATAAACTGGAACGCAGTTGAACTAAGCAACCGATAGAAAAAGAACCGTGATAAACAAAATTAACGCGTAAAGCAGTTTCATTCGAAAAATTTTATGTTTTTGTTTAATTTCCATAAATTTATCACATAACCATGTTCAGTTTTGGCCGTTACAATTTAATCAGATTTAATATAGATTCACCAACAAAACAGTCGTTGACAAAGAATTGTTATTGCAATGTTTCTGTGTTTTGTCCTTCTAACTGGGTGATCATTAAAAGAGAATATGTAAAGTAGATGACATCTACAAGATAACCGACTACAATAATACGACATTATTATGCAAATTAAATGTAAGGTGTTAATCTAGAAAAATACAAAACTGAAATTCTATCCATCTGTAAATTGTTTCATTAGGCGATTGATTTCATTTTCATGTACAAATTGTCGGCTACCGTTTTGTTTTGTGTATGTGCGCGTGTGTGAACTAATCCCTGTAGCCGGAAGCAAACGAGCCAGTGGGTTCCATTTGTGGAAATGTGATCACAATTACTTGGTCCACTGGGCCAGAAAAAGACTTTTTCGTCTGTGTTTCCTAGCGTGTCTCGTTTGGACCACCTCAAAGGGAGTTTCTGTACCACTCAGTAAATTGTTCGAATAACCTTGGATCAAAATATCTCCCTACTAAGCATAATTACCTTAAATTTTCTTTTAAAACCCCAAACATGACCAGATAAATGGGAGAAATTTAAGGGATACTGTCAGTTTTACATGACGTTTACTCTTAGGTGCAGCCTCGGATAGCATCGAGTTTTCTGTGGCTGCATAGATTATGTTAGTACACTATTTACCAAATAGTGTTCCGCCGTATGAGGACCACATTCGGGACCGGGTTACCTATTTTCAACCTTCGGAAGTAATTAAGAAATTTCTAATTTTGAAGATAAGCAAGTGCATGCCATATCAATTGAAGCCATCATCATTGAGGAATGTGTTGACAAGATTTTCGAACGTAAGCTAGGTAATTTTTGCAAGTAATTGTCGTAAATGAGGCCAAAACAATGTATCCGATTTCTTTTCATTCAGCTTGAAATTATGAATGATATGAATCAGCATGGTCCATCGCCTGTTATTGGGAATAGTGTTACCATAACTGCATATTTTTTATTTGCTCTTCTTAAAGAATTCGTACTAGATTTCACGCTCTACTGACCAGACTTTGCCAACAATATTTCCCTCACTTTTAACTGAATTCCGACATTATTTTATAAACCAAGAGGATAAATATCATTAGATGTACACCGTTGAACAACCGAATTATTACTTCTGTTTGAAGCAGTTGGCGGGTGGGCCCAGACAAAGACACAGGTCACGCTTTGGTTGGTTAACGTTTTTTGTCTACCAAAACNATGGGCTGACGCATGCTCAGACTGAGTCCGAATTGCTCCAGAAAAATTATAACTAGTGAAGTGTGAGAGATGGTTGAAAAGCTATATACAAAAAGATATGAGAGAACCCAGCGAGTATCGACAGTAGGATGGACCTAGTCACTTACGAGAATAAAAAGTGAACTGAAAACTGTTGTGACTCGCAGCTGTTTTTTGCTCTTGCTGAGATTTACGCACCCAAACGGGATGCAGGGTTGTTAATCCCATGTGGTTTCTACCGGGATGCCTGAGTTGTGTTGCCANTATCCGTGAATCCCACCGAACGGATCAGTCATTCGTCTTTTCTGTTGTGCATGGAATATTATTCGGTAGAAAGAAATCGCATTCGCCATGCATGTTGTCTTCTCGGGTGTAACCTAGTGCAGCTGAATGCGCATCTTTATTTACGCACATTGTAAACCAACCCATTCGGGGGGATCAGTGGGTGGTACATGTCATGGTAAAGGCACTCTAAAGGCTCTGGGCAGCCGGTTTTCTTTGACATACGTTTTCAACTCTGTGGTAGCAACGTCACGATGTGTGTGTAGGTGGTGGTTGTAAACTTAAGGCGTCGTTTCCTTCAAAATCTGCAGAAGTTCATAATAATGATATAAATGCAACTTTGTGACTGATATCCGAAAAAATATGGATACGGGTGAAGCACAGTCAGCCGTTTACTCGCTCATTTATCCATGTTCAAAAACGTATAATACGATAAAGAAAACCGTACAAAAATAGATACAGCAAGCTATAATTTTTTATCCGGTTCGCATTGTGTCTTGGACGAATTTCCTCAAATTCCTCACCCTTATTCTTACATAGCATTGTCTTGGTATATATGTGGGGAAACCAAAGTTTCACCCATTCACCTTAACAATCTTCACAAGTGTCGCTGGCAAATCCACAGAATCATTTTCTTCTGCAACACCAAATAATGAGTATCAGTTTCTATGGTGTATTCTTCTCCGCTAATTGTTTCTTCTTTTCATTCACGAAAGCTTTCAACTGCTTTTGTTTATTAATAACAAGCGTGTTGGAGGGACATTTGTTTTCATCGGATGATATTGGCCTCGCAAAATGTGAATTTTTCCTATTTCCGATTGGGTGCAGAAGAATGGTATCTCCTGTTCCTCCGATTTTGTGGGGGTGTGTATGTGGTAGTCTCGCGATAGTCGTTAAAAAAGCGGCTTTCAAACCGGAACAAACCAATTCTCTGGAGAATTGTTTTATGAGTAAAAACACATTTAGTGGTATTTCGTAATTACATTGAATTTCGTGATCAAGCAAAACAAAAAGTTGATCAGTTCTTTTTCAGTCAGTTCACAGTCGTTGTTATTAGGGTCGAAACGGGTTTAATTAAACCACAGCTAAATTTGTCAAAGTAGAAAACAAAAGCGTCCAACCACCGGAGGTGATTTTACCTAAACTCAGTAACGGTCTTTCCGAACGTGAGAATGCTTAAATGCCCGACGATATTCTTACATGTTAGGATCGATGTTTCAGTGAAATTTACCGTGTATGAAACCTCAAAAGATCACTCAATCCATCTGAGATTTCCTCAGAAGATACGTTTTGGTAATCGTATTACACCGTTACAAGAATGCTTCAGCTAGACTCAATTTTTTGTCATTTGTTTTTTTTTCCCGGTGTTTCTTCCACTTTCTTCAATCTTGCCGCTTGTGTTCAATACATTTTGTCACTTTCAGATACGGATGACACTGATCGGGCTCGTCTTTGAAACCTCGGTTGTTTTGCCTGACGTACAGACTGCATCGCTGAGGTACTGTCACATGCGCGCACGTGACATCAAACATCAACACATTGAGTCATATGCTGTCCCGCACACACACACAAACTCACGCACGCACACGCGCAAACTGACCAAACTTTGCATACAGTTACATGTTTTATGAACATGAAAATATTCATCTATAGAGTGTATATTTCTCCACATGGAATAACGGTCACCAGGCGGTAGACCGATGCCTGATGGAACTGGACACCCCGCCCAAATGTGTGTGCGTGTGTGCGCGCCCTCGCGTGTAAACGTATTTGTGCGTTTGTGCAAATTTACGTGCAATAAACAATACAAATGTTTCTATGCATCCTTGTCAAAGTGGCTTCAAAGAAGGCTGATCCATCGTACTGTTTGGCTATAAGTGACCCGTGAATAGATTATGTGGTCAGTCGGAAACGTTTCTTCTGCATTGTGGCTTAAAATACATTATTGGATATGATAGAGGATTTGAAGAGAGTGATACTCTGCATTTGGAGACTTCCCTAAACGACTTCCATCCGTTCGTGTTTGAAATTACCAAAAATCCTCAAAATGAACTGGAGCAGCATAGTTATAGCGCAACACAGAACTAAGATTTACAAGCCACATATAAGAGAATAAGCAGGAGTAAATTCGAAAGTTCATCGCATGCAGCACAACGAAGTGCTTTTTTAAATGAGATGTGACTCAAGTTTCCAAAAACCAAATTGTTGTCTGTGAGACAAATGAGGTATCGAATGACTTTTGAATAAACTGCGTACTCTACAACAGCAAAATCAATTAGTCTAGTGGGCCATGGGGACAGCGGGTGGCAGATTACTTTCGGGTCTATCGATAAACCCGATTATCTACAAGAATATGAGTAAATAAACTTTTCTCTGAGCAATATAAGTAACTATATGGCAATTCCTTTTTTTCTACCAAGAGACATACAGCTTTTGATCGAACTCGTGCGACATGACTCTAAATGCTGTAATAATTTGCAGTTTCCATTATGATTTCTGTAAGCCAATAGTGGAGTGAAGAGAATTTATTTCAATCTAAACTCCTGCATTGTCAACACTTTGATCTCTCTTCAGCGTTTCAGTTAGCGCAACCTTGAATGTCAGGATAAAATAAGATAAAGTAGTAGTCCGAAAGTTAAATATGGGAATAATAATATATTTTCTACAAAGCAGCATGGAAATTCATCCTTCTTAAACACTGCCTCTTTGTTCCACGAGGGTGTTTATTTTGGTGGATACAGGTATGTTAAACCGCTAATTGATTGTCATAGAGTGCAAGATAGAATTTTCTAGCTTGATTAAATTTGATAACTGATGTGGTTACTAATGCTTTTATTCTGAAGGACCCAAAAATATAATCAAAGCAGTAACCTAATTGATCTCTAAAAGTTGAACTTGATGTATGCAGCTCGCTGAATAAGTGGTTTAAGGTGCCACCGAGCCCGAACCAGATGCAACATCTAAGTGAGTTCGTTTTATGGTTGGAACCGAGAGATACCTTATTCAAATATCGCATAACTACAACGGCTCCGTTCCTGACTTGTGTGCATGTGGTCCAGTCTGATCTCAAGCTCAGTGTATGGCGCAATGAGCTCAATGTGTCCTTCAAAACATAAACGCAGAGGAAGAAAACCGACCCCATCGAAGCAAGTGATCGCTGAGTTCAATCGCAGCTGAGAAAAGTTAAAAGCAACCGGTGTGAAATTGGTCCGCTTGAATCAGCTACACTCTTCTTATACCACTGTTCAGGAA